TATCACAACGTTTCGGCCGTTGTACACTTTGGCCTTCTTAAGGTGGTTGAAATGTCAAACTGAACCCTTTATTTCACTCGCTGGGGTAGACTGTTCTAGTTACACGTTCCATGTTTAATGGATGTCATTTATCAGTAATCTCCTGTTAATTCTCCTCTCCATGAGGACAATAGTCTGAATAATGTAAATAGTATGCGTATTGTTGGTAATATTACAATTTTTTATTGTTAGTAATTTAGTATTCAAAAAATGTATTGCTGGAATTTTTATTATAAAAATCTATTTTTATTCTTTCATAGTGTTTTGTTAGGGGCAGTTCATTTTTTCCCATTGCTGGTATCCTATCAGGTGCTACCACCCCAGGCTAGAATGGTCCTGATATCAACAGCAATTAACAGTTTTTTTTTTACGCTCCTCAAAACCGCCAGTTTCTCGATTGGAGGCCTTTCTGTCAGATGTAGTTTATCGACATACCCAGGACTACAGAAACTGGTGGGTAGCGTATATTTACAATCAGAAGGAAACACTGAAATGAGGAGAGAGGACTTGGAGAATGTAACACTCTTACGACATTCTTAAGTGACATCTGCCTCTTGAGAATGTCGTGAGAATGTTATATTCTCAGCGAGTAATTGCGTTATTGGATGCGGAAAAGACAACAAAAATCATAGTGAATGATCAAAATTAGTTTGAGGAATAGAAAGCAGGAAGCTGTGGTGAGCCATAAAAGCCTACATTCTGAAGTGACATGGCACATAAAACAAGAAGAAGTACATTTTTAAATTTTAGGTAGCTATTATTATTATTATTAATACTACGACTACTTCTAATAATGTCTTTAAATCAACTTCGACCATACTGCGGTATGGTCGAAGTTGATATAAAGGTTGTCTCGTTGATGAATTTATAAACTTGATCTTTACTGATTGCTCCATTACTTTTGCCTTGGACCAGAGTTATTCTAACTTAGTAGGAAAATTAACTGCCCTGAGCATATGTCGATCGTAAGTAAACTTGTTTTTACTAAACAATTCACTCGTGTTACCAGTTCAGTTTTTATGCCTTATTTTACTATTGTGTCCTGTGACAAGGCTACAAACAGTAAATAATTACTGCTATTTCAATTGAATCAAGTAAAGACAATTAACTGAGTGTAAATGTTTTACAAGGACATATTCAGAAGCTAGACTTGTTAACCACTACGACTCTACTGAATTTGCAGTTTCTTGATTTCGTAAGCATTCATAAAATGGCGGAAAATTATTTGCGCGAGCAGTGAAGAAATTCTTGAAAAAAGTCGGTAAAATTTTCTTATTATTTATCAGTTTACTTATAGAATATCAAAAACATTTCTTGCACATTATTTATTTACACAATTTATATTGTTCGATCTGTTGTCCTCATCTTTATTGTTACATTCACGACGTTTCGATCGTTGTACGCCTCGGCCTTCTTCAGGTTATATTTGTAGGAATTCCGAACGGAGCCATTTCTTAATCCACGGGGTGGGAGTAGACTATTCCTAATTACGCGTACCATGTCTTGGGATTTTACAGTTTTAGTTAATTCGATTTGATAACTCTCCAAGTTTTTGTTCTCCCTCTTGAGGTCAGGGAGTAATAACAATTCTTTTGGTCAAGTCACTTTTTAGGATCAATCAACCAATACTTTTATCCACTGGGTCATGAGTCATTGGAGGACAAAAATCACCTGAAGAAGGCCGGAACGTACAACGGCCGAAAATCCGTAAATCTGAACAATGTTGTGTAAATAGTTAGAAGACCTCATCTAGAAATATAGACAGATAGTCATTATCTGCTTAATATTTCCTTAATATAAAACTAGATAAATAGTACACTTTTCATCATTAAATCATTATGATTTCTACGTTAACAGGCAAATTTCACGTCATGTTACATCACGATCCCTGGAACTATTTACGATTGTTGGGACACCATAGTTAGTGCAGACATAGTTGTGTCCCTTTAGTATTTGGGCGATCATGGCACTTTCTGTATTTGTATGACGATAAACTCCATTCGGCAGTAAAACCTTAGATAGGAAAATTGAAGTTTTGAGGAACCTCTTAATTGCTGTTGTTTCCAGGTACACACTGACACGAGGTGGTAGCACCTGTCAGGGTCCCAACTATTGGCAAATAGTGAACCCCAATCGAAATTCAAACACTATGAATTTAAAAATAGTAAAAATACCAGCAATATATTTTTATATAAAAAATTACCTATTTATAGTAAATTACCAACAATACATTTTATCTGTAGTTGAAGGCATAGAATTGCATTTAAAGTATGTCAATTTCAGCATTAAGTGAGGATAATGTGCCGCTCAACAAGAACAACAAATCAGACAAATAACCACTGGATTAATTATAAGGATATTATTAATGTCATGATATTAATCCATATAAGATTCTGCAATTTCTTGAATGAATCAAACTGTATTCCAACATATAAGTTCAACAAAACTATAAAATAAAACACACATATCACCGCCTCTAGTAATTATGTCCATACAAACATGTATATGCACAAAAGCTGAGTATCATCTACCATGTATTCAACTGTGAAAGCAGAATAATATATATCATATTTTTATTCTTCATTTTATTAAATTTCGACATTAAATGACCCATGAAGTGTTTATATACCGCTAAACAAATCAAATGAAATCTCTTCCGGTATTTTTAATCTTTAAGCAATATTTGATTATTTTTTCTATCCCTCCCACCACCTTTACAAGTTCGTTAGATAGATTTTCACTGTTTCCCCTCTTATCATCAATATGTCTTGTTAGTGGCAAATTCACTAAGCCTTCATTCCTCATTATGTGTTCCAGACATCTCAACCATCTCTTTCTAATTCTATGTAGAAGTATTCATTTCATTCCCACTTCTTTAAAACTTAAGGTTCCGACATTGGTATTCTCAGCATCCTTCTGTAGAATCATATATCTGACGCTTCAAGCCATCTCTCCATCTGTGAGGAAACTGTCAAGCATTCGCTGCCATGCAGGACGATTTCTATTACATAGAATGATGAAAATTTATGATGCTGGACACATATAGTAATTGCCACATCTTACTCAAATTCTGAGCCACCTTCTTCGCCCTCACATCACTTGTAATGGCTTCCATCTCATTGTCGGCGTCCATGGTAACTAAAATGAATCCTGTGTTCAGCATTCGATTCCATAGGTATCAGGACTGCAACAATGAAATAAGACATGGAATATCTGTAGATCATTAGATTATAGTGACAAATGCTTGTGCAGTAAGACTCCCTGATTAATAATAGTCAGGGTCAAGCCAAGGCAAATTAACAGCAGTATTATAACATATGTTATACTTTATTTTCCATATATTTTCCTACGCGTGTTTCGGGTCTTGAGATTTTCATCAGCTGAAGAATATTTAGTTCCACATATTATTTAAGGGAATTATTTTTCCCTTTTATACTTGTTGCACTGATGTTGAAAATAATATTTAGAACTGGTCAGAGAAATGGCGAAGGAAGGGGGTCTTTGTTCATACCTTTTTATGATCTCTGTATCTTTTAAACCTATCTCCTTTTTTTGGCATTGTGTGTGTGAATGTGCGTGTATTTTTGCTACTATGTATATGGAAAGTCCTTCTCCATACATATATATTGTCTTATAACAAGGAAATTGATTATATATATATATATATATATATATATATATATATATATATATATATATATATATATATATATGTATGTATGTATGAATATCTATAAGAACACCGGATTATATATCTTACTGTTCTTTTATATATATATATATATATATATATATATATATATATATATATATTTTTGAAGAAATATAGTCTTAAGGTGTGCTATATTTATGGGATAAAGTGCTCGATATCAGAGATAGAGCGTGTGTAAATATAAAAGTGAACATAGAAGTCAACACTTAGGGCGACAGTCTGTTTCATGCTATATGTAATCGTCAGGCCACGATTGCATATAGAATGAAACAGACTGTGGCATCTAAGTGTTGACTTCTATGTTCACTTTTATATATATATAATTCTAGAAAGAAAATTCGGATTGCCAACACACAAACAGAGAATGTCTCATATCGAGAACATTTCACATTGAACATGAAGAAAAATTAATTATTTTTAATAATATGTAGAAATCTCCACTTTTACCTGAAGACGGTCGCGAGACCAGAAACACGTGTCGTAGTAAAATTATGTAAAACAAAGCATAATATTTTTTCTAAATAAATCCACATTACAACCAAAAACGTTTGCAGCACCTCTTTCTTTTTTTATATATATATATATATATATATATATATATATATATATATATATATATATATATATATATATATATATATACACACATATAAATGTAAAAAAGAACGAAGAGTAAGATTTTAGCGTTCAAATCATTAATTTAGAACAGGGCTCAATACAAAAATAGAGCAATAAATATTTATTTATTATGCAATATTGCAATAGAACATGCACATACCCTCTACAAACAGTACATCTTGTTTCAATGTTAAAACATTTTTTCACCTTTCATCTGATGGAAGATCACGATGCTGATGATATATATATATATATATATATATATATATATATATATATATATATATATATACTTGTAATAAAGCAACATATATGTATGCAGAAGGACTCAAAATATTTATAGGCAAGTTTAAGTTTTGTTTTTTTTAATCGCTGTTCACTGATTTATGAATATTCTATCCATCCATGCAGATCTTATTAATTCTTTTTGCATCTATAATGAAACTAAGGATAAGGAATATTGATATTTCTGCTCTGAAATTCTGGAATTATTTTTAATAATATCAGAAAGTTTCGACATTCAATCACTCGGACAGGTGTAGATTTAATGGTGGTAAGCAATTTTTCGCTCAGGGGAAATTAGAAAGCATCCTCCATCCGTAATAATTATGGAATCACTTCTGTTAAACAAATGGTTAAACATATTCTGTTACAGACGTTCTTTATTTTCTTTCGTTCTTGCTTTTGTACTGAATTCGTAAAACTTGATCTTCCTTTTTTTTTCTTTCTACACCTTTTTTTTCCTACCTTTTTCATTGAGTCCCTAAGTATCAATCTTTTGCTTTCTTTCTTTCTTTCTTTCTTTCTTTCTTTCTTTCTTTCTTTCTTTCTTTCTTTGTCTTAACAGTGTTTCTTTTTTGCTTTTCTACCCCCTTTTCATTCAATCTGTTACTCCAGATTATTTTTTTCTTTCTTTCTTTCTTTCTTTCTTTCTTTCTTTCTTTCTTTCTTTCTTTCTTTCTTTCTTTCTTTCTCTTTCACTTTTTTTAAAATAATTGTATTTCTTCTTTTTCTTCTTCTTCTTTCTGCCTTTCTTTCTTTTTTCTCCACCATTTTTTCGTACCTTTTTCATTGAATCCCTAAAGTATCAATCTGTTGCTTTCTTTCCATATTTCTTTTTTTGTTCTTTTTTTTTTGTGATTCTATTTCCTTGAATTTTTTGGTAAATCTCTTGTTATTTTTCATCTCGAAAAATTTTCCCACACTGCCGTAACAACATTGTCATTTTACCAATAAAATCATACTCAAAAGAAAATTATTCGCGCACATACATACACACACACGCACACATACATACATACATACATACACACACTAGTCAGTAACATTAATGATTGTGACCGATATATCAATTGAACACTCTCTTTTCTCAATTTTTTCTCACTAATGCCACCCCACTGAAATCGCCATTTTAGTCCGTTACAACTATTAAAAACTTCTATGGACATGTCAAAAAATTTTCTTCACTCCCTTAACCTGACTAAATCTCTCCATTTATCATCGTTTGCAGCTACTTTCACAAAATCGTTGGCCTGCCAAGTCCACTGTTACACCCTGCTACTTGTACCACTAATTAGGAGTAGTAATAGTTTTATAAGTGGGAGCTGTGGTCATAGCAAGTAAAGAGTAGTACAACTATAATATCTATGTAGTTACTTTTCTTTATCGTCCTCTAACCGGACATACTTCTTCTTTTTCTTTCTTCTTTCTCCCAAACTCCTTCTTTCTCTGTTATTCATCCTTACATCTTTTGTCTGGTCAAGTCATACATATTTTACTGGATTTTTGTTCTTTTTTTTGTTTTAAATTTTTTCGCCGTTGTTTCTTTGTTTTTTGCGGGTGTTATTTATTTATTTATTTTTGGTACCTGACCGTGGAGCAACGACGTTTTCATCACAAAAAAGCAAAGGATTTCCTTTAAAAAACAAACAAACAAAAACAACAAAACCAAACCAAAACAAAAAAAATCGCTTATCTTTTTTCATCACAACTTTGTTCATGAATATTGGAACGTTTTAAAACTCAGGAGACATTTACAAGTAACGTAACCACAGTAAGTAACAAATATTTATATTTATTGCTGGAATTACGTAAAGGTGGATAAGAATTTATTTATACTACTCTGTTATATTTTAGAAAGCCAGAGTTTTTGTTTTAATTTTTAAAAAAATCCATATTTTGTTCTTCTCGGTGAATTGTTTGTTTCCAATCATAACCCTTTGATTACAATGGACGCTATCATATTTTGTGATTTACCGTCGTATTCATTTGGGATGAACCCATCAGAGATCGTGTCGTAATAGTTGTCATGGGATTGCTTAAGAAGCGACGAAGACCACCAAAGCTTGAATATACATTATTACAGATAACTCAAACAGTTAAAGAGAACTTTAATGAATTATTTATTTCATTTCAATAACTTTAAAGTCACAACAAGTGCGCCGGTGTAGCTTTTTTTTTGTTTGAAAATTCCGGAAATACGATATGGAATGTGATTCGGCCTATCGCAAATACCCAATGCCCTCTTCAGTTCGACGGGGGCGGCTAGATAAGCAAGTCTACAACCAGAAATCGGACTGTCCGCTTCATTATCGCAGACATCAATGTTGCGGGGAGTCAAAGCAGAATAACTACAGAAGTATTCTACAGCAAGTTTGCCGCCGATCGAGTCATTGCGATATCCTGCGGCCCTCAAGCCAACAGCCCCGCTGCAAGCTCTACCTCCACCTACAAGATCAGCAACATCAACAAAACAACTCTAAACGCATCCCTACTACCACCATTAACACCACCATCTTCACCACCACCACCACAAGCAACAACAACAACAACAACCACGAAAGTGAAACTATCATTCGCCACAGTTTCAAGTGCCTTCCACAGACACGCCAACAGTCACTCACTACAAACTGTCGGTCAGAAGCCAAGTTTTCAAGTCTCCAGAACAGTTTAATTAGGGCAGGCGGGTCTTGTCTGGAACACTCGATTCCAGTACATTGTCGAATTGACATCCACCTGGATTACAGGAGTGAACTTAACTATAAGGAATCACTACTTCATTTTAATCATCGCAGACTTACCATCACAGGAATTCCAATACAGCACTCCGATCCAAGTGCAAATCATCAACAACTCGAAACCCGTACTTGCAACGGTTACCTCGCTTATTTAAGACTGTTATCACAACCGCAACCAGACGAAAGCCTAAAGCTGAGTTCAGAGAAGCAGTTGAAACAGAAGGATAAATATTTGCCGCTAGGAGATCGTTCCCTCGAAGTACAATCACAGTTGATATGTGATTGGTCGAGGGCCGGCCGTGACAGACACCAGGGATTTTATTTTCTCGGACAGATAAACCTGGAAAAAAGTCAAGGAAAAGTTTTAGAAGCTATAAGGATCAAGGATGAAGATAAAGAAATTCTGGGCAAGGATTTCGTAATGGGCGGAAGAGAAACAGCACTGCTTCCTTGGCGAATAATCCGAGATCAAATCTTGCCTCGAACTGGTCACAGAGACAGAAAAATCGAAAATGGCGACAGAGCTACTCAGACAGCAGAAGAATTTGCCTCGTCTGTACATGAGTTAGCCGGTACAAAAGTTGGTGGCAAGTTTCAAAATCACAGAACGCGATTGGAAAATATCAACAACTGTATCATGAGCAGTATAAAACGAGATGAAGTTAACGAACAGTTTGAAACGAATTCCGAACAAATACTGTTTAATATTAATGTAAACAGACGAATTGTCATTAAACAGGATAAATCTCAGTGCTGCGTTCAGGAAACTCAATGCAATAAAGAGGTGGAATATGATATAAACAGAAATATTCATGATAAGTTTAAACCAAGGAGTAATTTGAGGAGAAATGCCAACTCAGCGTCTGATTCTAGAAACAACGTAATTTACAAGGCAGGATGTGATTTGCCTACTAACTGCGCCTACTCGCCTTTGGATCAGTTCATAACGGTCTACAATACCACACGTTTCAGTGCGTTTCTTTTCATTTTCTTTATCACCTGTGCATTACATAGCATTTCCCTGGGAGCTGATCGGAGTCGAGCGCCTTGGCCTTTCCCAGGCGCCGACGCAAAGGCTGTCATCAGTCTGAGCAAAAACGTCCTTATGACGGACGCTGACCACAAACAAGTGTCATCTCTCGGAAAGATTGACCCGCCGTCGGAATTTACAAAGGAAGACGCAACGTTCAGTGATTTTCCGGATGTTGATTCGGATAGAAGTGTTGCCGGTGCTTCCAGTCGCCACGGTCCGGGGGGCAAGGGAAAGGCGGTCGACAGGAGCGATCCAAGTGGCAAGAGAAAAAACCCCGATGCCGGATCGGAGAATGAGGACAACGTGGATGAATACGAAGCTTACGACGACAGTACAGGAATGGAATCCTCGGATTCGAACAGCAATAAGCAAAACCTCGACAATCCGGGTCAGTATTCCGATGTCGAAATTGCTGACTCTATTGACGAAGAAGACAATGATGACGACGAGGATGAAGAGGAAGATGATGAGGACGAAGACTGGGCTGGGGACATGAGTTCACAGCCTATATTTCTACCATCCAGAATGAATAAGGATGGGGGTCAGGCTGGTGTGGGAACAACTGGTAGGCATTTTACTGAACAGGAGACACCGGCTAAATCGACGGACGATCCACTCAAGAGGGAGATACCCGAGTATATGTTAAAGTTGTACCAAAAGTTTACACAAAAGCATTATATACATCCGGCTTCGGATACCGTGAGAAGTTTTAGCAATATCAATGACG